GTAAAATGCTTTTATTTGTACAATCTGGAATTTCCACAATTTATTTATATTCATTTTTCATTGTCCAGAAGAAGGCCATATGGCCCTGCTTAGTTACTAGGGGGGGAGGGCTAAATGGATGAATAAATACCTAAATGAATCACCTATTGGAAAGAGAAACAGGGAAAAAAAAAAAAAGAGATGAAACTAACAATCAGCAATCCATACCAAACAGTATTAACACAAGAGACATATGGAAAGAAAAGAGAGGCTCAACTTATTATTATGAAACTAAGGCTTATATTATAATTAATATTTAACTTTTTAAACATTTTCATTTCTATTTTCCCACCATGCTATTGAAGAAGTAATAATTGATCTGTTTCTCTATAACTTCATACAACAAACAGGATATGTACATTAAAACACTGATTGATTAATATGTCTAACAAATAATGACTTAATACATGTTTGTATGAGCTTTAAAATACACCTGATAATAACTGATTAGAAACACTTTTTTAAAAAAATTTGCTAGAGGATGCAGATGTTTACTGGAAAGAAACAGAGAGAAAGAGAAAGAGAAGAAAAAGTGAGAAAGCATCCCCACATTGGGGAATAGCCACTCTGCAATCCCTTCTCCTTCATGTCTCCTGTCAGGATTTTGGCCATGCATCCATTCAAGCTGCCAGGTTCAAGACTTGAACCACACAGTCAGCCATGTGAGATTCTGCTGCCTTAACCAGCACTCTATCAGCTGGCCTTCAAATTACTCTTTTTAAATAATATAATAAGAAAAACTCCTACTCAATAATAAAAGGTGATATTTGGAGCATGTCTGGGCACATATCACATTGTGGTTTACCATGGAAAAAACTATATTGTAACATTTAAATTCCTAGTATAGATTTGTGTTTGAAAACTTGAGAGGGTTTCAGTTCCTTGTAAGCCCTTTGCCTGCAATAAGAGAAAGTAAAGTTTAGATTTGGGAAAAATACCTCTGGTTTCCCATAGGAGTGGTTTACTAAGATGTTGAGTTCTATGTAAACAATATTCAGTTATGCTTTTCTATATAATGGTATAGAAAGTTAAGGATAAAAATGACCCAGTATTAGCACTAACATATGAAATATAAATCAAAGGTTTTAAGTAAATATGATAACCCCCTAATATTTATTGTGAACGCGTAGGTTTTGGACAATGGAATGTGAATAGTAGTACAATATAACCTTGGTATTTTCAACGAAAGTAAATTAAGAGTCCGAACTTCCTATATGCTTCTGATTAACTCTAGTAGCTTTTTGTCAAAAACTCTTCTAAGTAAATTTTGAAACTCTTTGAAGAAAGATACATGATTTCAAAGCAATTCAATTTATGTTTATTAAATTTCTCAGATTTGTAAGAACTCTACAAGAAATTTGATATACAAGAAATTTGTGCCCCTAACTTCTACCAAACACCCAAAGAACAATAGTTTTTATGCTATATATAAAAGCAGACATTGAGAATAAAAACATAAAAACAACTTAGCACATATGGATCTTTGCCAAACTATGATTGTTCTTTCATTATCAGTATGTTTATAACCTAGTGTAAGTTTATATATACATATGTGTGTGTGTTTCCTATTTCATAAGGGGTTCTTCCCGTTTTTCTTCTTTCAGTAATCACAAGTAATTAACATAATAAATATTGTCACTCATAAGACTTTCATGCGCTACATTTTTACAATGTGCATCTGACTCAATCAAAGACATTCCAAATTTATCAGAGTAACATTTAAAGATTATTTTCTAAAGGCACGTTTTGTAAACATAGATCTAAACTGGACCCTATACACACTTAGAATACATTAGTCCTCAAAGTTGCTGACACATCTACTTTTATAAATAGAGTATTCCCAATATTTTAGAAAAATTACAAGTATGATTCTTATTATTCTTACCTCTTTGAATTAATGTCTGAACATTAGGAACTAAATCTGACCAAGGTACAAATTCACATCGCTGTAAATCCACAAAATACCCAAAGATAGAATGCTCACCCGTTGGTAGGTTGACATCTACATTGAAAAATGAGAAATAAACTAAGGAGTTCAATCATGAAATGTTTCATTGACTGCATGAAATATATCTAAAAGATATGACTACTGAAACAGAAATATTAAGTATTTACCAAAGGTATATCCAACTATATAAAATAAACCTTTTCTTCAAAACCCTTATTTGTATAAAAGTTAAATTTTATTAACTTTTTGTCCTTTTGCTATCCAGAAAGCAAAGTGAATTGTTATCTGATAATCTTTGAAATCTTGCCCAAAAGTTCTGCTTAGTACCTTGTGTTTGGATGCTATTAAATTCTAGTAATGTGGTGATATGGTCAAAATAATACATTACAGAACTTTGATATTTATTTGTAAATCATATTTATTTTCCCATTCTATAAGTAATACATTTTCTAAAAACACATTTCTCCTCGCAATAAATTTGTTTTTCTCTTTTTTTTTTTTTTTTTTGAGAGGTTTTTGCCATAAGGTATGTGTGCTTGCCACAGAGAAATAGAGACAGTGAGAGGGAAAGTGAGAAATCACCCCCCCCTTGGGATGGCCACACCACAGTTTCTTCTCCATTCCTCACTCTCTGCTCTTTTATGACCTTGGGCACACATGCACATGCACCTAGCATGATTTTTCAGCCGCTGGGTCTGGGTCTCGAACCATGGTTGGTTATGTGGCTGTCTAGTGATTAACTGTTACACCATCTACTGGCCCCCAAATTTGTTTTTCAAGAAAAAAAAGTAATACATTTTCTTAGTAAAACATTCTAGAAGATATAAAATAATAAAAACAAAACAATTTAGCCATGGTCTTACCATATGAAGATAACAGTATTAATATCTTACTCTTTCCATCATTTATTAAATTTTACAAGAATGAAATTATTTTTTTTGTTTGTACATAGTTCCATGTTAAGTGAAAGAAGCCAGACACAAGAGGTCTGATTTATATATTCCTGTATATTTGTATATTGCATGAGTTTATTTGTTCAAGTATCCACTAAAGCTAAATTTATAGGCATGAAAAGTAGTTATCTGTGGATAGGTGTAGGAATGGGAATTACTATAAGTGGGAATTGGATAAAACAAATTCTAAAACTAATGTATAGTGATCGATTGTACCACTTGGTGATTTATTAAAAATCACTGAGTTATATACCAGCTATGAGTAGATTTTATGTTACATAAACTATACCTCAATGAAGCATTGTTTTTTCACTTCAGCAATTGCTATGGTTTAGGTGTGGTTTGTCCACCAAAACTCATGTTGAGGTTTGGTTCCATTGTAGCTATGTTGGGAGATGGGACCTTTAAGAAGTGGAGCCCAGTGGGAGACATTGGGGCTATAGGGGATCCACCCTTGTGGGTGGATGGTGCCATTCTCATGGTAGAAAGTTTTTACCTTGCAAGACTGGATCAGTTACTACCAGATAGGCTGTTATAGAGTGAGGCTGCCCCTTATGGTTTCTGTCTTTCTTACATGCCTGCTTGTCATTTTTGTATGCCCTCCACTGTCATCCCCCAGGTTGTGATACAGCATGAGACCTTTGCCATATGCACTGCCCAATCTTAAAGTTTCTAGCCTCCAGAACCATGAGCTACGTAAACCACTTTCTCATAAATAACCAAGTGTCTGGTATTTTGAAATGTACGATACTCTATTATTAATTATACAGGTGCTCCTCAACAATTTTTTTTACTTTACAGGGTACAAAAGCAGTATGTATTTAATAGAAACCACTTTACAATATTTTTTAATTGCATTGGGTTTTTTAAGACATAACCAAAGCAGCTATATTTATTGCTCTGTGGAACAGAGCTTAAAAACAACAACCCCCCCTCCCCCATATTCTGACTGTGTAAGAGTCTGTGTCCTTGGATTATCATTGTTCAATTTTCTGCCTCCTAACCTCTGTAAAAACTATTCTACTCTGCTTCTATGAGAAAACCTTTTGTTTCTAAAGAATTGTTTTATTTAACTTCATTTATTTATTTTTAATTTTGACCAGAGAGGGACAGAGTAAGAGAGAGAGAGAGAAAGCCACCAGGTCTGGGACTTGAACCAAGATTGGCCATGTGGGAGTCCAGTGCCCTTAACTACCACGCTGCCTGCCAGCTCCAAGAAAAACTTTATTAGATTTCAAATATGACTAAGACTATGATTGTCTTTCTGTGCTTGATTATTTTACTTAATATAATATTCTTCAATTCCATTTGTATATTGCGAATGATAACATTTATTTCTTTTTAAATGATGAATATCATTCCATTGTGTATATACACTACTTAAAAATTTTTTTTTGCTATAGTGTACATGTGCTCACTGGAGATGGAGTGGGAAGGAGAGAGAGAAAGCATCCTCCCAGGGAGAATGGCCATGCCACAATCCCTTCTCTTGCATTCTCCTTTTGGGATTTTAGGCATGCACACACATACACCTGGCATGTTTTTCAAGTTGCTGGGCCCAGGACCTGAACTGTACAGTTAGCCAGGTGGGATCCAGCTATCTTTTTTTTTTTAAAAAAAAAGAATTACTTTATTTAACTTGATTTATCCATTTATTTATTTTAATTTGATCAGAGCAAAAGAGAATGAGAGAGAGAAAGTGAGAAGGCAAGCTGCCAGGTCCTGGTCTTGAACCACAGTCAGCCATGTGGGAGTCCAACACCCTTAACCACCACACCACCTGCTGGCCCCATGGGATCCAGCTATCTTATTATTTTTTTTTTATGATCATTTATTTAATTAGGCTCTTGGCAAAAAATTTAGAACACCAATTTGTGAGGATAAACTCCATTTGTAAGGACAAACACAGATTGTAGGTAGCCCTGGAGCTGAGAAACAGCTTCGATTTTTGGTAAAATTTGTGAGTCCACAGCTTTCTGATCAACCTTGCGCTGCTCTGAAATCTTGCATTTCTCCTTCTCTGTGTGGAAGATCTCACCTCTCTGGTGTCTGCTTCCGCACTTTCGGATTTTTACTTTGCTAATATCAATTTTCGTGGAGGTGGCAATGACAAATTTCTAGTGTGTTCTATGCAATGGAACTTGATTGAGGACCAGTGGTCCAGTTATAAGTAGCAAGTCACTCTGCTTCTTCAGGAAAACCACTCCCTTGCCTCTGTGGCGTCCAGTGAGGATGATCAGAATGGTCCCAGGAGTGATGCTGGCTCGCCGCTCTCTCACATGCTGACTGAAGGGTTTTTTGCCGTGGCTCAACAGCTTTCAAGGCACATCTTCAGTAGGATAATACCTAGGCATTTTGCGCAGTTTAACGACCCGGGTACCACCATTCTTGTCTTCACCAACTGGTTTTGTGACAGTCGCAAGAACCTTCTCCTTCTTTTTGATCCTGGATTTAGTGGCCGAGTATTTCCTCTTTTCCCTGGAATATATGGCAGACCCAGAGCATCAGCAGATGCCTCGGACTAGGACAGGGTTTCATCCGCAATGGGGCTTCTCCTTCTTGGGCTTTTTAGCCTTGTGGTCACCCTTTTTAATCTTTCCCACTGGCATCAGCCTTCTTGGCTTCAGGTTTCTTCTCCTTAGTATCCTGCTTCGCGGTTTTTTCACCTGCCATCTTGAATAGTGGGAAAGAGCAGATCCGACTATTTTAACAACTGTGCTGGCCCTATCATTTGTTGATGTATGCTTAGAATGATTCTGTATCTTTGCTATTGTGAACAGTGTGCAATGTTCATGGGAGCTAAAATCTCTCTGTCAAACTGATTTAAAATCTTTTGCATATATACCCAATGGTGAAATTGCTGGATCTTACCATAGTTCTATGTTTAATATTTTTGAGGAATGAACCTCCAAAAAATTTCCATAATAGTTGAGCTAATCATATTCCCACCAATAGTGTATAAAGGTTCCCTTTACTCCACATCATCACCAATACTTGTTACCCTTTTTGGGGGGGAAATAGCCATTCTACAGAAATGAAGTATATTTCATTGCTATTTTGATTTGCATTTCCTTAATGGTAGGCTATGTTGTGTTTTTAAATATAGCTATTGTCCGTTTCCATGTTTTCTTTGAGAACTGTCTATCAAGTTCTTTGCTTATCTTCCTTCTTTCCTTCTTCTTTTTCTTTTCTTTCCTTTTTTTTTTAAATAAATACTGTCTAGTCCTTTTTAATTGCTGCCACTGAAACCAAATATTTCTAGCTGAGACTAAAAAAAGAAGCAAGAAAGGGCAGAAACAAGAGAAAAATTCTCAAATTAAGAAATAACTAAAGGGACCAGCAGTTAGCATAACGGCTATGTCGCTGGACTCCCACATAGTCGACCGCGGTTCATGTCCCGGACCCGGTGGCTTAAAACTCATGCTGGGCCCATGTGTGTGCGTGCCCAAGATCCCGTGAGCAGAATGGAGGAGAAGGGATTGTGGTGTAGCCATCCCCCCTGGGGGGTGATTTCTCGCTTTCTGTCTCTCTCTGTCTGGCGAGCGCACGAGCCCTATAGCGAAAACCTCTCCAAAAAAAAGAAAAAAAAAAAAGAAATAACTAAATCTCCTCCTCATTAGCATGCTTTTTAAATTTATTTTTTAACTTACATTTAATCACTGTATATCTTTACAGTGTACAACACGATTTTACCTTATCATCAACAGACTTTTCATTTTTGTGTCTATTAAATTTTTCCCCCTTCCTCTCACCACCTATTACCCACCCCTTATTACTCCCCTCTTCTACATTGTTTTAGTATCTACAGTTGGCCTCCCTGCTATTTTACCTTTTAGTCTTTCAGTTTCTGCTCTAGAGTGTAGACATTTGGTATATATTAAGCAGGACCATGCAATATCTGTCTTTCATAGTCTGGCTTACTTCACTTAGCATTAAATCTTCCATATTTGTCCACTTTATATCAAATGTCAGGGTCTCATTATTTGTTATGGCTCAGTAGTAGTCCATGGAGTACATGTGCCACATTTTCCCAATCCATTTATTTGTTCTTAGACATTTGCGTTGATTCCATGTCTTAACAATTGTGTATAATGCTGCAAT